TCTCTGTATCTGTCATCACAGACCATTAAACTCCTTCAGACATATCTATAGATTTTAAGTAGTTTCTGACTGTTGGGTGACAGTGGCTGAGGGGTGATCTGACCGATCTGACTGTTTTGTTTTTTTTATTTTTTTTTTATGTTAAGGAACATTTGCTTGAGTGGAATAAGTCAAAAAATTCCTGGCAAAGGAGGGTGTGTGTATATACAGGCTCCTGTCCCAGCAGACTGGGCACAGGCAAAAACTGCCTTCTGCAGCAGCATTGTACTACCCAGATTTATAACCTGTTGGATTGTCCCTAATCTTAACAACAAATGGAGGAGTTTTCTCTCCAGCAAGAATCCCTCTGGTTTCTAAGTAACAGTAATCTTGATACTGGTTGGCAGAAATTGTCCTAGAAGAGGCAGGAAGGAGTTGAAATGCTGCTGGGAACAAACCAGGCTGAACAGTCTGCTCCAAAAAGCTGCAAGGAAAATGTTTCTTAAAAAACAAAAAAAAAAAACCCCAGATTCGGGAGAAGATGATGATCCTAGTGAAAGGACCAAAAGCAGGAATCAGTTCAGGTTGAATAAGATATGTTGTTTGACCCAATACATAATGCTTCCTTTCATTAAAAGGCCTGTAGTCTTTTCTTGTTAATTGAAATTAATTTATTAATTTAAGTTTGAAAATGTGTAAGCACTTTCAGGCTGATGACTTTTATTTTTTCAGCTGAAGCGACAAATCCAACATAAATTTGCAATGTTTCTGTTGACCTAAATATGCCTGTTTTCTTTGGGCAGGGATAAAAGTTTCAGCTGAGAAACTGTGCCTGCTTCTAATCTGGACAACACCTTCTGCCTAAGGATACTTTCATTCATAAATAAAAAGACAAATAATTGGATGGAAATGAAACCCAGGAAGCCAGTACGTGCACTGTAGGGGTTGAGTATTTCACACAAACCTACAAAAAGTGAAATCAGAAGAAGCTGAACAGTATGGTGTGGCTTAAAACCCTTTGGCCAGACAAACCTACAGGGTTCTCTTCACAGAAAGCATCAGATAGCACATGTTGAACAAAGTTAGCTGTTTTGCTCACCCTGTCGCTACGTGAGGTATATTCATGGCTTCTGTGGTGGTAGTACATCTCTGAAGTGTCTGTAAGTGGTGAACTTCTATTAGGTTACTGGAGCTAGAGATGTGTGTATTTGGAAACGCATGGGGCAGCAGAGTACGTACGAGACCTGACATCTCAAAGCCACCATTTCCAGGCTGGCTTCATCCTTCATCTTCTAAGAAGTGGTGAGAATGGTGTCTCAGTTGCCCAGTAACCAGTCTTCAAACTCAAAACAGGGGAGTTCTGAGCTTCTTTTTATTTTGCTAAAATAAAGAGTCCTTTATTGCCTGTGTATAACCAGGGATGTTGTCAATAACATCAATATTTACTTCTTGCAAAAAGACAATAGGAAAAGTTTACAACAATAATTGTCAGTGGAAGCAATTTTCTAGAAAGGGGATCTGGTCTCAGCTGTTTAAATGTTTTCTTGCTGGTGCTTGATTAATAGCTAATTAGAGAAATACGATTTTATGTAGTTTCCAAATGTGTAAAATCTGGTGTCACTCAATTCTTGAGCCTGTAATTATTTACCATGCTGGGAAAAGTCCCCTTGATGGTCCTCAGTGATGTCCAAAGAAACAGCTGGCATGAATGTGAACATGGAAAGGATAACATACTGGAGGACTGTATAATTTTCCTCTAATATATATTACAAATTTATGTAATGAGTATAGTATATTAATATATAATATTAAAATATAACTATATAAATACATCTATAAATACATATTACATATAATAATATGTTAATTTCATAAAGGAAACTAATGAACTGAAACTGGCATTTCTGTTCTCTGAACTACTTTTGTTAGAAAGCTGGAGGATTGGGGTCTCTTGTGAGAGAGGTAGAACTTTTTTTTGGAAGGTGTTCAGAATTCAATTTAGATAGCTAAATAAAAGTTGGATTATCAAAAGCATGCATCATGCTAAGCAGCATTTAATAACGTTGAGACTTTTCTGAAAGCTGCAGTTGTGAGGAATCTGACTGCAAACTAAACTTCAGAGCAATCAGCTCTGGTGCCATCGTGAGTACGTGAGGGGAAGCGCCTTTCCCAAGGGCTCTTGGTGGAAACCATGTTTTTGAGCTTCTCTCCACTGAAACAAATGGTGTTGTAAAGCTTCAGTGATGAGTAAATGTGCATTTCTGTTACCCTGTAAGACACTTCCTTGTGTTTGGAAATCTTCCATTAAGCCCCTAAAGGCACAGAATACCAAAAAAAAAAAAAAAAAAAAAGGTGAAAATCAGTTCACACAGAAGGGGAAGGGAAGGGCAGGGGGACTATTATTCTGTAGAAAATCAAAATGCACCAACCTTCTACAAATTCAGAGTAGATAAACTGTTTACCAGTGACTACCTGGTTTAGGAGGGTGATGGTATAATCACCAAAACCATTTTGAAATACCTTTCTAAATAAAAAAGCATTTTGTGCAGTTGCAGTAATTAATGGTTGCTCTCTTGCAATAGCCTGCAGAAAACTAACTCATGCGTTTGACAGCAAACATGAATATGCTTGTAAAACTGAAGGGAATCATTAGGCTTGTGTGAGCTTGATCACTTAAAAACAAACCAAGAAGCTGAAGGTGGAAGCATGTTACAACTTAGGGGCTTGATTGAAGTCAAGGGGAGTATGTCAGTATTAAATCCTATGGAAAGACAGAAGGCCCAGCTCATTTGCAACCTCATCAGCTGTGGCACGAGGGTTAATGTACAGGGGAGAGTGGCACACCTGAGGCCCCAAAAAAACAAAGCAACACGTACATTTTGGAAGAGAAGGGTGAATGTAACGCCGTTATGTACGTGGCTGCTTTGGAAAACTGGACCTCGCTGTAGGCAGATGTGAGAAGACTGATGTTTTGAGGTGGTTGTGCATACTTCTAACTGTTTCCTTTTTGCCTCTGACTTGCATGAGGGCAACTTCTGTCACATCCATGGAGTTCCTGTAGGAGGAAATGTGATGTATTTCTGAGGGTAAAGAAAGGGAGAATTGTGACGAATTGTGCAAATACTAAATGTTTCAACAAAACAAACAAAAATGTGATTCAGTTTGCTTCTTACTTTGCATGTGCTTACCCTGATTATTCCATCCAGTGAATTTGGAAGCAGGAATTTTCAGAAGCATTCATTGGAAAAGCTTATAAGGAAATATGGAAAAACTTGCATGGAGAGTGAATTTCAAAAATCTGTGCTGTGTTGCTGCAGCTGATTCTCTTTTATATATCTGAGCAAGGGACAGAGGCACCTCATATGGCCACTCAGAGTTTCTTCATGGGCAATTTGAATATTTTAGAATTGGTGCGTACATTGAGAAGTTGCAAATATCAAGCATCAGTTTAAAAATTATTCTGAACTGTGGAAAAAAACATAAAATGAAAAAAGGGGGAAAAGATCTACTTATTTGCTCTAAGTCTGTTCACACAGGTGTAAGATGACATAGCGACTTGTTGAAGATGAGTTTCATAAAGTCTGCTGAGAACTATAATTCATGCTATAGAAATTAAATGGCTAATCTCTGCACATTCCTCATTTTCATTGTAGAGTTCAAAACTCAGAATTCTTACAGCTTAAATATGTACAAGTATCTAAAACTTATTGATTTCTGGTAAATGTCAAGTTTTCTATTTCAATGGATTAGAGTTTCACTCCAGTTCTGAAGGAGCAAGGAAGTTTTCTCTTGCTTACGAGAGGTTAATCGGGAAGACCTCCGCTGTCTGTCCAATCTACACATTTGGATAGAGAAGAGACTGCATGATCTGTAAATGAACACTTCTCTTCATAGCAGGGCTTAACAAAAGCTGTTTGGAACAGGAGTCATCTTCATTGTAGTTATGCTCTCTAATGCTATTTCTAGTTGCCTCTTGGACCATGTAGGGTTGCTTAGTCCCTGGCATCACCTCAATTATGAGTTTGACAATTTCCTGATAGATTGTTTATCAAAGAAAATATTATGTCAATAATGTCTAAAAGCTGTAGCAATATTGCTCCCAGCCCAGAGATGTAAATACTGTGTTATCTCATGGCACAGCCTTAAATGACGCCACACATCTTGAAATAACATGTCCAAATGTGTCAGAGGAAGAGATTGTTAAAGCGTTTGCCTTATATTACCTGCCTGCTAGCAAATGGGTGGTGAGAGACCTAGAGTTTAATTTTTTTCTTTTTTTTTTTTTTTTTTTAATGTCTATTAGGCAGATCATGCAACTATCTAAACAAAGTTCTGGAAAACCTGTTTGCTAGCTTACTCACAGCTCCAAATGGCTTTGAGTTGCAATAGTGTGGTGCCTAACCCTTCGGGGGAAAAGAAAAACATAGCAAACCCAACCCAGTGCACCTTCTAGAACAACATCTTCCGAATTCATGAAGATTGGGGGGGGAGGGAGGGGAAAAATGGCCTGTGTGTGAAACCACGAATTATATTATGTCTGCCAAACCCCTTTGAGAATTGGACCAACTGTCGGTTCAAATGATTTGTGCTTATCCAAACTTTACTCATCAAAGGTTTTTATGAGTTCACTTTGGCAATGGCTGTGTTTTTCCATGTGGTGAAATCATACACCTGGAAAACATGCAGCCAAAATGGTGTAGAGCTTGAATAACTCTCCTTGTTCTCCAAATGCTCTTGAGTTTTAAGCATCATGGTAGTTAAAGTGTTTGTGGTGCTATAAAATTTGTACAACTTTACTGTAAACCTGACTCTTGCATAACCCTCTTGGCCAGATGATTGGCAGCTCGGTTGTGATCTTGTAGCACAAAAAGGAACAAATATTGGCCTTAAGTTTTTACCGTACAGAGGGAAGAAAGCTGAAAATCTTTACCTTTGTACAAGCTGGACATGGTGGCACAGAAAACATCCTGTGAAGCAGCAGCCTATGAATAATCCTATTTTATGGTTTGCTTTACAAACAGCGTACAGATCTCTATCCAAAATGAGCCAGTTCTGGGATGGACAACAGCAATCAAGAAGATGACTGTACGTCACAGAAGTGATGGGGAGAGGCTGCCAGAAGAGGCTGGTGGGCAATTCAAGAGAAAAGGGGTATGTCTACAGCAGTACTTGATGTTGACCTTGAAGTTACCTAAGCCCAGTCCCTGTGTTGTTTCTGGAAGCCTGCAGCAGAGCCTGTTATATTGCCCTCTTAGTTTGCAAGTTGGGCCCTCCTAGGACTTGTTTTGAGGCCAGCTTGTCTTTCGCCGTGGGTGGTAGAGAGAAGTAGAGCTGGGGAGGAGCAGTGAGAAGTGGAAATGGTGGGCTTGTTGTGGGTGGCTTCTGTGCCCTGAGCCCGTGCTGGCTCCAGACATGGTTCAGGAGGGCACAGGGTTGGAGGACTGGCAGCGGTGGGAAGATCTCTGATCTGTAATTGATCAAAGGTCCCAGGATCATGGTGGGACCACTGGTAAATTGTGGCTTTGGCAACCTCGAGGTTAATCCCATTGGTGTTCTGGGTATTGGGTGCATCTTTGAGCACGGCTGAAAAAGGTGCAATTTTTTCTGTTTAACTGAAGATCATCCTTCCCCTGAATAGTGTATTGTTTTATTTTCTAACTGCAGTTAAGCTGGAGTTGCCTAGGAAAAAGGGCACAGCACAATTTTAAAAATGATATCATGAAACAAAATATACAAAAAACTAGTGTAACAAAACTGGAGAAGCTGTAAAGAATTTAGGTCACAGTGGACATCAGTTTCTTGACTGCAGTGCCTAGTCACTTGTCTTTCTGTTTACACAACAAAATAGCCTGAAGAGAGTTAATATGTTTAGAAAATGGCACTTACATGTATTTCTAATGGGAGAGGAAACTCAACAAATTGATGTGACTCAACAAATTGAGTATACAGAACAGATCACAGCTCTGATTAGGCCATTTGCAGATTGGTTTGAAGAGCGCTGGCCTCTGGCCAGTGAGCTGCTTCTTACTTGCAAGGAACATAGACAAACGGTGAGGACGCTGAGCTAACACTACACTATGCTTTGACTCTAGCAAGGATGATCTCGTACTTAGAGCGTATGCTCACGGCTGGCTGCTTAGCATAATGGAGCAGTCCTGCACCACACACGTCTGTGGCCACGCTACAGAGGCTTCACCACAACACAACTGCAGACCTCTTCCACTAAGGCCTCATAAATGGCAAGGATTAAAAATAATATGGGTAACATAAAATGGAATTTAAAAGAATACGGATGGCTTAATGTGAAAGTCATGAATAATGCTGCATAAAATGCCTGACCTATTAGTTCACTTATAACCGGTGTACCTGTGCACAAATCTGTATACTGGTTTTGCGTACTGTACTATAAATGGTCTTTGTTCTTGACTTTATATAATAACACCCCACCTAATATCTAGACACCCTTGTGTATATTTTGCGCATACATCTAATTTAGCTGTTAAATATTGCTCCAAAACCCACACGTACACTGAAAGAACCATATATTGTCGAACTGGTTTGAAATCTATAAAGAAACAGTGCTTGGGAAGGGAAGGGTTGAAAGCTGAAGAATTAAAGAGCATTCCTTTTAATTTAGTGGCCTTGTAATATGCTACTGAGTAGGAGGAGAAAAGAATGAGTCTGGTGGCTGGATTGGATCTGTGTTTCCTGTGTTGACACGGGATGGGTGGAGCAGGATGGTAATGGTGTCCCCAGCCCTGGAAGGAAGAAACAACCATTTGCTCTTGATGTGGAGCGACTCTTGGGGTTTAACTCTGGGACAAAGTTGTTAGATTCACTACCCAAGCTGGTTTTCTCCCTTTCAAATAAATGTTACTGCTCCTTCCCCTTAAGTTTTAATCTCGTACTTCTGAGGAAACCACTTCTTGGAGGGTCTCAGTGCTGCAAGGCATGGACCCCTCCTGGGTCTGTTATGTCCTGAAGCTGTGGTGAGGCTGTGAGTGCCTGGGATCCTGGGGGAAAGACAGGGAGAAGGAGGAAGCAGCTGTGAATTACCAAGGAATCTTAACAAAGCCAAAACACTTGGGTTGTCAGAAACCCGAGCAATGTTCATGAATTTCAGTGTTGCACTGATGTGTTTTTATCATTATGATTCTTTTCTGTTGATGTCTGCTATTGTACGAGGGCAAGAATCTGCAATAAACCAAAGGCTCAACCCCAAGGAGCCTGTAAACAAAGCTAAACACTTAACACATGAGCCTGCCCTGAAAGAGAAGGCAAGGGGAAGATGTTTTTTATTTTGTGATGAGTTGCTAACTGGGAGTCAGTTTGCCATCTGCTTGTGGGAAAGCCCTAGGAGGAGGCTTTGTCGTACAGCCCATGGAGTTCCCCACTGCTCCCCCTCCAAACCATTCTTCAGCATGGAAAGCTGCTCCTGCTGTGAAATCACTACATGTTGGAAGCCTGCCACACTCGTACTGGGGAAGTCGGAGGCAAGATGCTTACTCTGTGCACCCCATGTCCCTCTCTGCACAGCAGGGACAGCCAGTCCTTCCCTACCACAGAGGGGTTTTGCAGGGGCAATACTCATTATTATTTCCTTGGTGTTTGGGATGCTGGAGTGGTGGGAGAACAAGACCAAATCTCAATCAATGGGTAAAGTGGGTTTGGGGAGTTCTTCCCCAGTGAAAAGAGGTTCTTCTGCATGCTGTGGAGATGTTCAAAATTCTAAACTCAGCGGTTATGTGTGGTTGTGACCACCTGTAGGTAGGTTTAGCTATTGGTTGTAGTTGTGCCCCGTTCCTTTCCTCTGCATCCCTTCCATTCAGCTGGTTCCCCGAAGAGGTTTTCCCAGAGGCTGCAGAAAAGTTGCTCTGTGGCTTCAGTTCTCAGGTGCCCATTACAGATATGTTAAATACATAAATTAAAAACATCCTCCCTACTTCTGTTCTCCCCCACACTGTCTGGAGCACCCATCACATGACCTTCTGCTTGGTAGAGCTGATGATGCAAGGGTAGAGATTACTTCTGCTTGCAAGAATTGCATGGCAGTTCCAGCCATGTATTATTATAATTTTGTGCCGGTTGGCGCCAACTAGGTAATCTCTGTGATAGCCTTAGGAGCAGCTTTGCCATGAGATCTTAGAAATGATATGTTGTCTCCCTGTGAAAGTGCTGAATTAAACAAGTATTTGCAAATTTTCCTGACAGTGAAATTCCATTCCCTGAACAAAACCAGGGAATTTTCTTGAATCTGTGGAAATTAGATACATAGAGGAATTCTGTGGTTAAACAGTGACTCTGCCCTTTTAAAATACCCTGCCCTTTGTTACTCTTGTTTCTTTGGGAGTGAGAATTGTTCTAAAAATTCTGGCATTATGGTTCAATATGTTCTGTATCACAGAAGGTGGAGAATCTGTAAATCTTTTATTATCAACCCAGGAATTTTGCTCTGTACCTTTCCAAAGGTGAACACTTGCCTTTGTTTTAGCAAATGAAGGAGATTAAGTTTATTAAGCCTGCCCTGTTGTTGACTTCATCATTTTGATGTCCTTCAGATTATCAAATTTGCTTTGTATTAACATATCATTTCTACCTGTATTGATAGACAATTCTATATGCAACTGAACTATATCACATGATACCGAGTGATTCATCCTTTGTTCCTTGTGAATCTAAAAACTGGGTCTCCTGCCTTCCCAGACTGTCTCTAATTTAGAGACTACAAGCTTAAGGCATCAAAATCTGCTGTGCTCTATCTGTGGTTTGTTACAGGGAAATTGATTCTTCACCCAGTTATGCCAGTGAGGGGAAGAGAGCCTCTCTCAAACCCATAGCTACAGTGGGGAGGTGCAAAGGCTGAATCCTCCTGTACCTTTGGCTCTTCTGAGGATAGTGGGTATGTTCTTCCATTTAATGTATATTTAGAGCAGTGCTGCTTTAAGATCAAAAGAATTACTCTGGATTTATACCAGGGTAGCTAAACATGGAATCATACATAATTCCCAAGCACATTTGTCTTGCAAGAACCACACCTGATCTGCCTCCCAGCTCTTATTTACATAAGACATCCTCACCGTGTTGAGAACATCTGGGGTGGGGTTGCTTGCTGCCAGGGTGGGCAGCCGTCATCACCGCGCAAGCCTGACTACTACCTCCTCTGTAATCATAGATCCTGACCGCTTGCAACCCTTCCTCAGACAGCAGGAACATCTCTGGCTGTTGGGTTTGTGCATTTCTGTGGTCTTAACACTAACCTATTTTATCCCTGAACACAATGGGATGAAATCCTACAGAAGACAGACATATCTCAAATGTTTCCAGGATGCGTACATCAGTGATGCATGTGCAGTTTCTAGTACAGAGAGGATTAGAATAAATGCATTCTTTGTAGATGCTGTTTTAATCTTTCAAGCTAAACTTAGATCTCGGACACCTGTCTCTGCAGCAGTCTGCCTCTTGAGCTCATGAATTTTGTGCACAGCTGTCAGTGCTGTATGTGGGGTTCTCTCTTTTCAGCTGGCTCTATTCCCAGTTGGCTGAAAAGTAGGAGCCTGTCTTAGAAAGAGAATTTCCACTCCTGCATACTTTGATGGAAACAAGAAGATATAAAACAAGATTTAATGACCCATTTTTTTTTTTGAACCATTTATTAGCTGTTCTGTACATACTCAGTCTCTGGGGAACTAAGTTACATATTATGATAAGTATAGAGTGCCTGTTCCCTATGGACTTTGTTTCATGATTTATGTGGATAAAATAAAGCATATAAACCAAATAAATTACCTTGGATAGCTTACTTTGAAATAGGACTCCGGGAAGTGCCACGAGGTGGCCAGATGAAATGCTGACCTGAATTGGTGGTGCTAAAATGAGTATACCAGCTCCTGCCCCTGCCAAGCCCTTTCTTTGTCTCCGAGATAGAAGATTACAAAAGGAAGAAACAAAGGTTTTCACAAAAAACATCCACCTATGTTGTCTCCATTCCTTTGGGATTGATTAGATGGGGGGGATGTGTCACAAACTGAATGGCTTCACCACGAGCTTAATGACGAGTGGTGTCTGCAGAGTTCTGCAGTGTGGTCGGCTTTTTTCTCTGAGAAATGGCCATCCAAGACTTTGGACTCCACCATGCTCTGCACACCCTCTTG